TATATATATATATATATATATATATATATATATATATATATATATATCATGTGTCCGTTTGTCATTTAATGCCAGGAATTACAGTTTTGTTATGAAATCCACTCATGTACTATATTACTAAAATGGATAACAATAAAGGACCAGTGTGGCATCTTTTCAGTCATCTCAAAATTTGCTCATCCCACTAATTCAGTTATCCATTCCAGAACAATTCTTCTAAGAAAGCTAAACTGGGATGGCCTTTCAAAGAGGGGACATTTCAAATCGAATGCTTTCCTTATTATCCTTTTGGCTACTCCATAAATCTAGATTGACAGATGCCATTTAACCTCATAACATTTAGAATTTCTTACATCCACTACATTCCTGAGTTAATCTGTTCACACCACATATGGCGGCTGGGAAAGGACACTTAAAGCATGTGTCTGATTTAATTTATGTTTTTCTTTTTTCCCCCTGTTGCAGTTCTTTGGCATGCTGAGCGTCTGTGTGATAACCTGTAGATCTGGCAGCCGGAGGAGCGGCTACCAGCCTCTCTATGCCTGAAACTCCCCCTTCAACCACAACCTCATTTAGTTGCCTTGGAGTTGGCTTACTGCCTTGGAGTTGGCTTGCATTGTATAGAGGTCTCTGTCTATTTTAAAGAATTTAAGCTTTGTTTGAATATTGACATTGCAAATCTTGTCATAGCTTAAAAAGGATGATATGAAATGATGAGTCCCCAGATTTAATCAGCATAACTGTATCCTTGTTTCATTTACCTAAATTCAGACACAGCATTCAATGTTTAGGTTTTATCTAAATTTTTACCATCCAGCTTAAAGGTGTTAAAAATGCCAAAGATTTGTGTAGTCTCTGAGCCCATCTACAGTCTTACCTTCCAACACATGATGTGAAAGTAAATAAATCAATGTTGATTCCACTGGGATTATATTTGCATCAAGTCTTGTTCATCAAGTGCAAGACTCTTGTTTCAAAAGTGGTCTGACATTAGGAAGGTGTAAGCACATCAAACGAGAGAACAAGGAATAAACTATTGGACATTTCAGGCTTCTCCTTGTAGATCTTTCTCAACCAACTTTACTGCACCGTGTAGATAGCCTTTTTTAGAGGACACCAAATTTTGAATGTACTTTGACTCATGACTTCAGAAATTTATTTTAAGTCGTTTGTGATTGTGAACAAATGGAAAGTGGTTACGGACCTTATTTAGAGTAGCAATATTTATAGTTAATTGAGTGACTGTATTGAATCAATTTCTTCTTCTAGTTTGGTGTTTATGTTTGTTTCTGAATTTCTGAATTAAAAAGGTGAATGCTTCACAGTAATCATGGTTTTAGTGTTATCTCACACTTAAGTTGTTGCTTTGTTTTACCACCATTAAACCACTCTATGCAGATCCAATATATGGCCTACCACTGATCAAAATGTGTCGTAACAGCATGAGATGAGTTCAAAACAGCTCTTATATCTCCAGTGTCTTGGTTAATGATGCTCTGAATCACCTCTCTGGCCACAGTGGCAAAGTGTTGTCTCTGTGCATATGTAATGTGACCCGGGGCTTTATCTGTCACCTCCTGACTGCTGATAAAGAGGCCCCTCACGAGGCTCATACAGATGACGGGGCTATCCATCTTGCGTAACAACTATCACTGTTTGAAAAGATAAACATAAAATGCATATTCACGTCTGTAGTCCAGCATAGCAGTCCACGTTCCATGTTCACAAAGATATAGATGAAAAATTATTCAACCTTGAGCTTTATTCAAAATGTAATTTTACCGTCAGCCTTTTGAAAGGGACTGTTGTCCAATTGATTGAATTTTAATTCGCCCATAACTGTTCCAAGACCCTCAAATAAGATGTACATTTGAATGCACAGCTACAACACTTCCCCATGCAGCTTTATTTTTTTGGAATTTGTAATTGTAGTTGCAAAGTAAATCCAGTGGGTTGTGCAAGAGAACCTCAAACCCTCTGTTCATACGGTGCAAAAACACATTTTTTGCACACTCTGTTTTTCTACAGAGGTAAAGGAAAATGTGAGTTAATGACTTATGTTATTGGCTCAAGAAGAATACAAAGAGCCTAACCTGAAGTACGTAGTTTGATTATATCTAAAAAAAAAACATTGTCAGTGTCACTGTATGACAAAGATATACAAGCCTATGTGAGAGAAAAATAGAAATAGAATATGTTTGTGTCTTTCTTAAATCTTAGTTATTCAATATATTTAATAGTAATATGGCAGAGAAAAAAGCTGCCATTTTACTTGTTTTTAAAAGTTTAAATGGATTCCTCCTCATGTGATTGAGAACTTTCTGCATCTGCTGCTGAATTAATAATGCCAATGACCCTGCTGCCCTACCTCACTCTGTCTCATATCTCTTGAATGCATATCTAATTTGGTCCACATCCTCACTGCCCCGAGGATAGTTGATATTTAAACATGCCATCCTTTCACACAGAGAAATGTTGGCACACATGCTGTCAAATAACCTTGTCGACCGTAACACCTGGTTTCCTTTTCTGGTGCTCAGTGTACCTTTTTCTCGTGTCTCCCTTTCAGTTTGAAGTCAGTGCTTTGAGTATATTGTCAACTCACTAACGGTACTTTTTCCCTCTTGTCATGATCACATCTTTCTTTATCACTGTTATTTTTAGATTGGTGGTTTATTTTCAGCCTCTTGTCTTCTCCATAGACTACTGATCTGTTTTCAGTTGTTTGTTCCTCTTTTTTCTCTTGTTTGCAAGAGAGTAAAGTGTTAAAAGAAGATTCTGATTTTGGAATAGATACAGACCAGTGGGAGTTTACAGTGATGTGGTGGTTAGCCGCACGACAAGAGAGTTCCCCGTTTGAATCTCAGCAGGAAGACTTTCTGTGTGGAGATAGCATGTTCTCTTTGGATATTCCGGCTTCCTCTCAATGTCCAAAATCAGTAGTAATTGTTGGTAGTGTGCTTGGTATGTGTGATGCACTGCTGACTGGTGTAGTCCAATTCTCACCTGGTGATAGCTGGGATTGTCTCTGGCCCCCATGCTATCATACTTGGACCCAGCGGTCATAGCAAATGGAGAAATGGAGGTGTTGAGAACTGCATGTTTCATGGAGTAGATCAAGCTCTATAGAAACTGGATCCTACTTTTTCCATAGTGCAGTTAGATTTCATTTTAAATTGGCCCCTTATGTCCTCAGTTCTCTTTGTTTATAAAAGGTTTGGTCAGGAATTTATGTCATTACCCCCCTGATGAATCTTCCTGCCTAAAAAGAAAAACAGTGGAATGCACCTTTATCTATAATTTCACACGGCAAAATGCTAAGCTTGGATTTAATGAGGTGTAAAACGACACCATTTACAGCTTTCACTTTTTACTCCTCAAGGAGAGAAATGAGGAATAGAAGATGTTTAATTCGCTTACACAAAAGTTGCCAGTGCAGATGATTTTGCATTACAGCCTTTTCTGTTCTTCTGTGATTAATATTTTCACACCTACAGATGTGGTCCCCTTCATCTCTCTCTCTCACTCTCTTTTGCTCTCCTCTTTGGGCGGTCAGCTTACTGGAAAAATACTCCACACAGACATGCACAGAGCGGCCCCTCTGAGCCAGATGCCATCACTGACCTCTAATTTATTTATTTCCTTTCCTACTTAAACTGAGGGATGTAACCTGAGGAGGGTGCACATGCCCTGCTGCTGCTCATTTTGTGCTAAAGGAAGATAAACAAAAGGGCAGGAGGGCAGTTTATGTGTGTCTTTTTGTAGGCCTGAGCTCTTTTATCTAGAGAATTCCTTCATGGCACGAACAACTACACAAAAGGCCTCCACTAGATTTGTTTCCAGAACTGCTGGTTTTTGTCCATATTTGCCAGCTTTAACATCAAACAGGGCCTTAGGAGCCCTGCTCAGTTGTGTAAAACACTATTGTGTTGAATAATGTTGCAACATGTTTGACATTAAGATATGCCTTTTCTCTTTTTATTTCTTACACAAAAAACAAGTGTCAGCATTTCTGTGTATGAAAAGCTCTAAACTTTATGTCATCTAATGACTGATCACGACCCATCCACTTTGGGGACGGGTCACTTTTGCAATCAAATTGGTGTTTGTGTATGTTAAAAGCCACTCATAGTTAAAACTGTGACATCTCAATTTGTCAGATGCTGTCAGTGTTGATTAGAAAACAGAAAACAGGAACAGCAATACAGCACAGAGAGAGAAAAAGTCTGAAACAGACCACAGGAGCAGCAGCAGAATCAGAGCATTATTCATGTTATCTCTCAAATTCCAAGCTCAATCTTTACACCACAGGTGTTTCAGTCACAGTTATGCTCTACTCCTCTCATTGTTTTTCCACTTTCCTTTGCCCTTCCCCTGAATAAATATTTTATTCTTTTTTCCTCTCTTTTAAAACTGTTTCTCCAGGGCTGTCATTTGAAAGTTGTCAGGAGACTTGATCTAGTTTTTGGCAAACCTCCCATGACCCACACTTGTGACTATTACAGCTCTGAGAAACACACATGTGTTCTGTTTTTCCACGTAGCGCCAAAGAGTTTAAATAAAAGGTTACAGAACTGACTAAAGACATAAAATCAATGTTTAAGTTTAACTTTGACCTTACGTTCACTTATGAATAGTGCCAGACTAGCTGAGTGTACTGAAATAAAGAGCATATAACAGACTGTGAAAATGTTTAGAGACTTTGTGAGAAGGTTTTTTAAGATGCATTGCAGTTGTTGACAGTCAGGGGAGTGTGTCACATCTATGAAAGAGATTTTCAATTAAATGTTTTATATTTTACCTCTATCTTCCACTGATAAAAACTATATTGAAAGGACAGATAAACCCAGCTCTTGGAGTGCAAATCTTGGTTTTCTTGCAACATATAGCAAAAACCCAATTGAAACAACACATTAAAGATTTTTCATGATATATTCAATTTTTAGACCTTTCTCAACTAACACACAGGATTGGGTGAATCCCCTGGAAAGTATGAATTTGCAACACACTTTGGGCACAGCATTTAAGGGACACAGCTGTTGAGTATAAAGGGCTCAGCAATTCTGTGCTTCACTTATTTCTGATCCAGCGCCAGCTCTCTCATTTTCGCTCATCCCCTCTGTGATCAGAAAGAAATCAATGAACCATCACATACTGAGGCACACTTAACAAATTATTAATCATTTCAATGTGGCACATAATTAAGAAAAGAACAACGGGTGTCCTACAAAACAGCAACACGCAGTGAAAAAGTCTGGTGCACGTGGATCATGTTAGCATTACCTACGGTAAATGTCTGTTGCCTCCAATCAAACTTGTGTTCTTTAGATTGGATCAAAGAGACATTTTTAACATCAGATTTCTTGACGCATCCAATCTGAACTAGCTGTGGACATTACACTTTGTGTTTAAGAGTGCTGCCTAATTCAGGTCTCTCTCATAAGAGATGTGTGTGATTTCAAAGGGACTTCAAGGAGAAAGAAATTAAATAATGAGGCAGAGAGGACATACAGACTCCAGAATTAACCTTGTAACTGTCTTCTGTTCTGTTCACGGACAGAAGCATCCTGACAACATCAAACACAGTTCATTACATTCTGTGTCACTGGGGTTTGTTTTCTTATGACCCCTCTCTTCTTCATTAATCCCTCCAGCTGTAGCCCCTCTGCATAATCATTAATACACTCTGCGACCTACCTTCTCTTTCTTTTTTCCTCTCTTGTGTGTGGTGACTCTCGTCAGAAGGCTAATCCCTCTCTGTTAACCTGGGAAAAGGACTTGTCGTTAAACAGGCTGCTTAGCAGAACAAGCCTGTAAAACACTTTGGCAATGCTTTGTTTTTAACAGGACGTCTGATGCATTTTACCCACCATCCCGAAGGCCTTCATCCTACGGAGCCTGTCAGAAATTTTGTTTTTTTTTAGTAGTAAAGAACGTTATTAACTTTCATACTTGCCCTAGAAATACACCAGATATTAAATAGGCTATGACAGAAATTATATGATAAACTATTTGAAATCACCTTAAATCATTTTCTTTCTTGTTAGCGATTTCAATCTATCCTCTTTTTTTATGGTCATCAAAAAATGGTACACTTTCCCTATGTGAAATACAGTATTTTCTTATTTTGTGTGTATACTATGCTTACAAAAGTACACACCTTTCTTCTTCTGTTAATACTGTTAATACCCTGATACACTTTCTGTAAATTACTGTAATGACCATTATGTTCTTGTAATCCCATTGGTTGTGTATCTCCTGTATGCATATGCATTCAATACTAAGCCAAGCCCCCTCTTTAATCTTCAACTTAGAAAAATTAAAGATACCTATAATGATGATAAAGCTTAGTACTATAAAGAAAAGAATAACAGTAGGATGTCAGTTATGAACATCAAAAAGCACAAGTTTAAGTGATTTTACCTGTGGGTTCGAGAATACTCAGGTAGTTTTGACTGTGGAGTTCTTTAAGCTCTGAGCAGAGATTTAGAATTAATGTTGATAGGGGAGAAAGAGAGAGAAACGCTTTGCTATGGGTGATGCAGTGTGTGTGATAACGCGGGGCCACTCAGGTCTGGTACCTGAATCCGGGTGATCCCTTCCCTTTCCTCTCCTCCCACTCTCAGATCGTTGCTCTGTAGCTCTGACAGAGAGCGAACAGTCGCCCACAATAGCCGGCTCTGTTGCAGCCCCTGCTTTATCTCATCTCACCGGATCATCCCCTCCAGTGCCGACCCGTGCGGGCTGCTGCTGCCTCCTGTATCATCTCACAAGCTGGAAACAAGGAGAGGGATACGGCGATCGTTCACTTTTTTTTCTTTTTTTTTTGGGGCTTCCAAAGATCCCTAGACCTATCAGTCTCATGATCCCCCCGCTGTCTTTGTTTGTGGTCGACCAGCTGGGGCTGCGTGATGCTCCGGTGAGTACTTATGGTTGCTGTTGCTGTCTTTGTGTTTTCTTTCTTCTTTTGTCTTTGAATGGTCAACGGAACAAATCAACGGACGAGATTTTTCGGATTTGTGAGGACAACGAATCCCAGGCTGTTTCTGCTATGTGGACTTTTTTTTCTCTTTATATATCTCTCGCTGTCTCTCGGAAATGGAGCTTCTGTGTTTATCATGCACTTCAGTTTCGGTGTTTTGTTCTGTCGGAGGGGCGTGTAGACAAAGACAGCTGCATGAAGCAAGAGTGCACAGAGGATGCAGCCTTCCCCATAAAGTAAAACTGCATTCACCTCTTTTTGGGAAGTAAACAGATAGGGGGAAAAAATAAAAAAGGATAAGCGCAGAATACAGAAGATCACAATAGATAACAGATACTCATTGGTTGCTCATATATGCTACAAATGAGTTATCATCCTATTGATTAAAACCACGAGCGAAGTTTCATTGAGCCATTTTGAACAAAAATCAAGTGACATCTCCTAACAGGATAAAACAGTGTTTTTAAAATGCTGTTTTTTGTGTGTGTTGTTGCATAACCTGATGAAATATGGAGAATAAGTGCTCGGATAGAGAGAGAACCAGCCTCTTTGCTGGCTGTTATGCATTATTTATAAAGTTACCCCAGTGCTGCACCTCCCTCTCAGCACCACTGTCAAGGCTCCATCTCCCCCATCTCTCTCAGACTCTTGCAGCCTCTGATAGTCAGCCTGACAGAGCAAAATATGAAGCGTAAGTGTTGTGAGGGCTGTACACTTGGAAACTGTTGTCCCGCAGCCTCCTTGAAGAAAAAGACTGACAGTGGCAGAGTTTATTCTCAACCATGCTCCCAGGCTTTCAAAAGAAAAGAGATTTATTTTATGGATTGATGTATTGTTTGAGCTCTTACAGCCCAGGGATCCCAAAGCAGAAGAAACACACATTTTATCTTTCAACAGTGCATTTGTTCCTTACCTTTATGACATTTTTAGAAGCAGGAATAAGAAGAAACATCTCAGGGACATCTATAAATGCAATGGTCAACAAATAAAATAAAGCAAGTGGTAATCTGCTCCGTCATTTTAAACAGTGTCTGCTCTGAAATCTTAACAGCAGCATTGAGTCGACATTAAAAAACAACACTGAACTGATGAGATTATCCTCTGCCGGTTCATAGAGTTGCTCTCCAGCATTATGTAACGGGACCTCTTCTGTAACCCACTCTGCTGCTCTCTAACTTTCATCTCATCTTCCCTGGTGTCCGTTCACCCTGTTTTCCCCTTTCTTTCCTCCCCAGCAGCACCGGCAGATGTGTGGAACGACACCGCTAATAGATGCATGTTCTCGCAGTGGCCACGGCCCGATGCTGAAATCCCCACATTCATGAGAAGGCAAGAGGAAGCAGATTACTGAGGGATTAAGCACATGCACGGTTATGCATGTGCATACGCAGGGGACACCACGGTTTCAGGATTTGAGTTCCAATTTAACAGTGGTTGTCCCTGTGAATGAACATACTGCACTGACTGAGAGAGTCTCTGGTATCATGGAAGAAGAGGAGGAGCTAAAAGAGGCCCTTTGAATGTAGACCTCATGACACCGCCTTCTTTTTCCATCCTCACCATCAAAGGACTGCTCAACAAGTTGACAAGTGCAGCGCGGACCATCCTCCTACCACTCTCTCATGATACGTCGACACACTTGTGGGAGCAGAGTCATTCTCACACAAGGATGTGAGGGTGTGTTAATAAGATTCTCTGACATTGTGAATATCCGTGCAAAAGAAACCACAGACAGAGAATTTTTAGTTTTGCAGACTGCAGCACAAGATGTCAAGTGTCAAGACGAAGACGCTGACAGAAAATCTTATATTTAAACCTGTGAGCAGCAAATGCCTTTGCAGCACATTTTAAAACAGGAAACAGTAGCATTTCTGATACATCGAGATTCATTTCTGTTATCAGCTTACATTTTGTGACACACACATTTCTTCTGTTAAACACCCCATGAATAATCCAAGTATTTTTTTTATTTGAAATCTTACAGTTTTCTTGGTTTAGGTCACAAGATCAAAAGATTCCCCAGTAAAAACTTTGTAAACTCAGTTTTTGAAAAATTGGGTAAATCTTTCCCTACATAAGTAAATAAAAAAGTAAGATTATGCACAGAAACTTCTTGCTGGCCCTGTGGAAAACAATTGTGTTTGTTTTTAATTTTTTGTAATCATGAGTAAAGGCAGACATTATATTATAATGTTTGAAACGTAATTTAAAATGTTATAATCCATTTACAAGCATGAGTTCCATGGACAAAATAATGTTTCTGCTCACCAGCATATGAGGATACAAAGAATGATCACATTTATCAGGTACTTTCAGAAGAAATCTATCCAATAACAGTCAAATGTTTCATCAGACTGAGTTGTAATGGCAGTCCAGGACACCCCTCACTTTCCCTTTGGCTTTGAACTTAGTGGTCACTTTGCTGACCCCCGGCCTCTTGGCACAGGTGTCACCGGCCTGGTCCTCTCAGCTGTGGACCAACGCAGCGGGCGGCGTGTTGCAATCAAAAAGCTGGTGATGCGGGACATTGTGACAGTAAAACACGCCCTTCGAGAGGTAAAAATCACCTGCCGTCTGCACCACGAGAATGTTGTGCAGGTCCACGAGGTTTTAGCACCGTATGGACGACCTCTGCCTCAAGACCAAAGCCAGCTCGGTGCTCTGTACATCATCCAGGAGTGTATGGAGACTGATCTGGCTCGGTTACTGGAGCAAGGACCATTACCCACAGGTAAGCGGGAAAACAATACAGGAAGATGTATTTTTATCAACACATTCTGCAAAATTAAGCCAATGCTTAACTATATTCTATATATAATTTACAATTAAACTGCATGCTTGTTGGGCCGCATATGTGTATCCTCATTCATTTGTTAAGTTCCGTTTCTGTTGTCAATTTTGAATCAGTGCATGCATGCAACATTGGTGATGAATCCAAGACTCAAATGGAGATCCTTCCTCATGTGAGCAGCATGATAATTGCCAAAAGAACCTTAGAAAATATATCAATTTTGAACACATTTCTAATTACATACCAATGTCTAAACTTTACACATATTTATGTGCATCCTCACAGGCTCAGCACGTAAACCACCAGGCATTTTTGGCCTTTTTATCTTTGCCTTGAATCTGACACGAGCAGAACTGACTAACGTTAAACTGCTTCTGTCAAATGCAGTTTCATGGTCAAGTACCGGCGTCATTTTAAATCCAAATATATCACTCCTCTGCCAGTGTGATGATCCCTGTGAAACAGTATACTGTGGCTTCGTTGTGACACAGTCCTTGTTAGTTGTAGCTATGACCAAGAGTGAAGAAAAAGAGATTAAGGTTGCATGTTTAAAAACTTCTTATCAATCTGTGCACTTTTCATGTTTTAAAGCATTAGTGTTGGATTTTAGATTATGCCTTCATCCACACGACACATTTTCACGTTTTATGTGGATGGTTTAGTTAATGCTGAACACATGTACCACAAGTATAAATTGCTGAGTAATTGTATTTACGTAAGTGCATGGCAGTGTGTCCTCCAGATGTCTAATCTATGCCCTTGAATAGGCCATGCCACGCTGCTGTTCTACCAGCTGCTGAGGGGACTGAAGTTCATCCACTCAGCCAACGTCCTGCACCGAGACCTGAAGCCTGCCAACATTTTCATAAACACGGACCAGCTGCTGCTCAAGATCGGAGACTTTGGTCTGGCCAGAATTGTTGATCCTCATTATTCTCATAAGGTGAGTCAGACACAGAAAGACTCCTGGCATGCACAAACACTGGAGGGACACATGAAAGTCCTTTTATTAATTCATAAACATTTTATGTGAATGGTAGTTCAAAGTGTAGACAATTGTCTCAAGGGTTTCCGAAGAAACAACCCAGTTGTTCTCCACTATCAACAGAATAAAAGGATTATCTCTGTCCACACCGCCATATATGTATTTGTGTATGATTAGCAAACATTGCAAATGTTGCTATTTAATTTTATTCATACGTGAATCAATTATGGCTTTTTAGTGACATACAAACCCGGCCCAGGTACCACATATTATTTTGACCGTAGGCCAGTAAATCCCTATGATCATAATTCCATGTGGGGTTTATGTTCAGTTTTCAAGTTCTGTATTCATTTTAAAAGCCTATAATCTTCAGTGCGAAAGTAGGCCATTAATGTTCAACTCTCTGATGCATATTTGCACAGATATTTCCACATTTCTTGAATATTCTTGAACCTAGAAAAATTGATGATACAACAGATATTCTGTCCTCATCAGCGCTGAAGAGGATTTTTATTCCCTTTTCTCTTTGTGCTGTTCTGTAGCTAATGCACATAGAGGACGCTTATGAAATCAGTCCTTTAGTTGAGCATGTTGTCCCCACCATGTTATGTTGGTGGTGCTGGTATTAAGATAGGGACAGCAACTACTAAAGCCCCGATCATGGGTGATAATTATACAAGGTTACATAAACCCTCTCTGTGAAGAAACGTTCATGGGTGTTGCAGAAATTGCTTCCTGTGGAGAATAAATTGGTTGCACAGATATTTTTTGCCCAACTTATGTTTGTTAAAGTGGAGCAATCCATCTGTAAGCAGTCTCTTTGATTTGATGTCTCAATTGGCATAACTTGTTTGTTTAAATTACAGAGTATAGTATACAATATTTTAAAGTATCAACTGTAATGCAGACAAAGTGGTATTATTGTTATTATTATTATTAGGATTATTATCATGAAGCCAAAAACATGTTGCCAGCATCTTTATATAGCTTTACTGTAACCAGACACTGACATTATTCTGTCTTTTGGAGATGAAGGCCTTTGAGAGATTAACATGACAATTTACTGCTCCACTGTTCCACCTTTATCAAGTTCAAAGACTCCACAGCAATTCTGTAACACTAGCAGGGCTGGATGAGTGTGCATTTTGGTCTCTTTGTTGTGTGTTATTTTGGTATGTGTATGTCCAGAGGAGCCCTTGTGAAAGGCGATATTTGTCTGCCTAGAGCACGGGACCGGGGATCAGATGGGTGCACACACAAGGGAGTGTTGGGTGGATTGAAGAGGCCAGGGGAGGAGGGGTGGAAAAGCAGTAAGACATAAAGAACAGATGAGGAGCACTGTGAGAATATTGTGCCATGGACGACTGAGGGAAGAAGAGGTGAAAAATGCAAAAGCAGAGGAGGGCAATGAAACTGAAAAAGACTAAACAAAAGGGAGGAGATAAAAAGTGATGATAGATAGTGAATGTAAGAGGATGGATGTGTGCTTGAGTTCAACTATGATGAAAATTCCTTTTTCACTCTATGCCATGTATCATTTATTTCGTGTTCACCTCAGCTGAACTCCACATTTGGGGTTTAGTGGAGAAAATGTTCTTTCTCAGTGTTTCCACAGTATTGCATGTATTTCATGTATCATCACATCAGAGAACTGGCTATGCATATAGGTCAATTGTGAGTGACAAAGGCTGGTTGGGGAGCTGTAGTTAATGAAAGAAAAACATACATAAAAAAGCATTATTTGTGTTGTTATTTACATTGTGCATCAGCAGGAACTTCTTTGCTTTTCCGTGTGAGCACATGTGAATGTCACCTGCTAAGGCAGCACTGGAGATGCTCAGAAATTATTCATTACCTTGATGAAAGATGCTGAGAGGAAAAGGGGGTGAAGAAGGGCAGAGTCTTTAACAGTGCTGGCAAGAAGAGAAGTATTAAAGAAACATATAAGAAAACTGGTAAGATGAAGGTGGTAAAATAAAGGGAGATGGGATTTGTCATGAAGAAAAAATGGATAGGATACAGCTTTAAGTAATGGCTGAAAGCAGAGGAAAATAAACTAACACAGAATATGAACAGTGTTGGAAACAGTGTCAAAAATAGCCGAATATCACATCTATCCATTGTTTTGTTAGAATAAGGACCATCCTCTCTTTGAATAAGGCTTTTTAAAATTTTCAATCAGCATGATATCACATCTTGAAAATGTGCCCTATTGTTGAGTGATTGCCAAGACACTGAAAGGACAACTCAAACAAAGAAAGATGATCACTTAGGTAAGGGACAGACAAGGTGAATGAACAGAATGTTATGTTAGACTGTCAATGCACTCAACTTTCTCAAGTTTCTGCCGGTATCTGTACTTAAATAGATGAGAACAGACAGTGAGGCAGCAGTGCACGGAGAAGAAAGATGGGCTGCAAGTAAAAGGCAGATAATCCATAGATAAAAAATAAATATACTTAATAATAACTGAAGAAGATATGTGGTGAATAAAGTAGTAGTAAGAGGAGAAGACTTAGAATAAGGCAAATGCATGAATGGAGAAAACAGGACACAGAGGACTGATGACAGAAGAGTGTTGAGAAGAGCCATCAACATGACTTTCATGTGTCTTTCTCACAACTGTGCACACCTACTAGTTGCACAACTAGAAATGTTAAGTCCTCTCTGAAAAAAGGCATGAGTGCACAACAATGAATTAAGTCTCTGAGCCATCCCCCATAACTTGCTGCTCAAGAGGTAGCCTTTTTCTGTCAGGTTCAAAGACGTGGAAGGCAAAGTCATTATCACTGTCAAGAGTGTTTTTAATCCACTTTAGGACATACTCTTGAGACGAGCCATGCCCTACTTAGTGTCACGTTAAGCTGATGTTACAGGTGGCTTAATGCAGGATCATTTTCCTGGTGTGAAAATGTTCGCATAGCAGTTTTCTGACATCCATTTTCAGAGTGATAACTCATTTGTGTCAGTATGAATACCATACTTAACATGAACCGAATACTTAATGAAAAGTATGGCAGCACACAATCATTGGCAATGGGGAAGACATTGAATTTAATGTCAATGAGACATTAAATTAATGTCAATTACACATTCAATTCAAATTAAAAACATTTAAATTGGGTAATGAAAGGCGAGGACAGCAGTAATGGAAGCATTGTTCATCCATGGTTTTCCTTCGAAAATCCCTTGAATTAAAATGTTAATGACATAAATAGTACAAGGATATTGATTAACAGAATGATAAAATGCATTATTTTTCAACATATTGTTCCAAAAATTAAGCAAATTCAGAAAGGTTAAAAAAAAAGCAATAAACAAAACATATAGAGAAAAATACAACAGTCTTAATAACTTAAAATGCTCAACAAGAGCCATGAAGAAGGCACCATTCATATTGTCACTCAGAACATATAAAAGCAGAATTCCTCAAACGCAAATTTTCCTTTGCAGCCAAGACGTAGACATATAAAATGTTTTGTTGTGCAGAATACATTTCCTCACTAACAGGGCTGTCAATAACCTGGAGTAGTAAGGCTGGCTCAGGGGACATGCATGGAGCGAAAAATAAATGTTGTTGAAGGTGTTAGGGACAACATTTAGTAAAAAAAAAACATTTCATTATCACTCCAGCTGAGTTCATCTGCCTATGTCTCAGCTCCATGGACGCAACTAATGTATTCACAAAGTAAATATTTGTGACCATAACAGGAAAATGGGGAATCAAAAAATGTTTACAAAGTCCCCACATTAGCCTTTTATAAAAATAAAGTTTTGGATGACCTGAACTGAAAAACAATTTGTATCATGCAGAGTCAGTATCTATAATTCTTTCTGCTGTTTTTCTCTACCTCACCCTCTTTTCCAGGGCTATCTGTCCGAGGGTTTAGTAACCAAGTGGTATTGTTCCCCTCGTCTGCTCCTGTCCCCCAACAATTACACCAAGGCCATAGACATGTGGGCGGCGGGCTGCATTCTGGCTGAGATGCTCACTGGCTGCACGCTGTTTGCAGGTACCTTTATAGTTTGTCATACAATATTATGGAGAGCACAGGCATCCCTATGTCCTAAAAATTATCATAATCTAATCCAATTCTATTTACTTCTGTAATTGTATATGGTTTCATCATAGTGTTTGTGGAAAGGTACAACAAACATCTGAACAACTGAAAATAAAACGTATGTATGACCTGATAGCTGCGCAAAAACGTGTCAACAATCAACTAGATTGATTTTTCTATTCAAAAACAAATTTAAGTATTTCATTGACTTATGAAAACCTGCAAATATTCAAAACACTACTCCAGAAATTGCATGACAGACATGGTGGAAAGCACTGACAGAAAAGAAAAGTATTCCATCCAGTGTTCTTGACCAAAGACACTCTGTCCCAGCAGACTACTTCTTGGCCTGACCAGAATATCAATGATTTTTTAGAAATTTTCACTGTCTGAAACAAATCTTGTTCGTACTGACTAGCTGATTTTGACCTCCACCAGTCCTCCACACCACAGGACTGACATCGAAAACTGAAAAGCGTCTTCTGTTCCCTGGTGATCCAGCATGTGAGACTTTCACACATGTTCTTGGGTCGCCTTTCACTGTGCCAACAGAGCTTAGAGAGCACACTGCACTCCTGTTTACCAGAGAGGAAACAATGCACTTGCAGCCTGATGCATTGCTCACAGTGAGAATTGTGTTAAAATAGCGCCACCTGCTGTTATTTCAGAAATATTTTAAAGAAAAGAAAATCAAACAATCTCACATAGGTGGAATTTGCTGTATTGTCAATTTATTTTTCTAAAGTTAGTGGCCTCAAAATGATGGTCAGCTTTGTCCCTTTTAATTAATTTTCCTAAAACATTTTCTTATTTCTAAACTCATCAGATTGGCACCAGCTAGCATGTTCAGATAAACTAACTCCTGTTTAAGTTTTCAAAAGTTTATCGTTTAGAGAGGAAATAAAAGAGCAACATTCGTTGTATGTTTTTTAAATAATTCATAGGAATGGATTTAACTGGAAACTATTTCAGTGGCCTCCATCAGACCCTGTCGTTATAATTCCAGCTGAATCTTCAAAGTTTGCTAATTCTGTCAGTTGGCGGCTTTCAGTTCCCAGTTGTTCTTGTTTGACTTGACATTTTTCCTTTTTTGTCCTCTCGTGTTCTTTTGCTTATGTAACTGATCCTCTGTCTCCTCTCTGTTTGTCTCTGATTGGCTGACTCTCTCTCCCAGGAGCTCATGAGCTGGAGCAGATGCAGCTGATTCTTAACACTGTGCCTGTGGTGAGAGAGGAGGACAGACAGGATCTGCTGCAGGTGACACCTCAAACTGTGCTGCAGCACGTCAGCATATCTGCAGTTTCAAGCAAAAGTCAAGCTGAATATTAGAGAGCAGTTATGAAATTTGTAAATTGTTAAATTCTTTACAGCAGTTTATCCAGCAGTTTATTCAGCATGACAAGAACAAAAGTGGTATAAAAAATACAAGACAAAGAAACAAAAAAACCTGCATCTGGATGCAAATTAGTCAGCATTTCATGAAAATATTGATATCTTACTCAGGTTATTCAGGTAATATATAGATGCTGGAGGTGACAGTCAGAATAGAGGTATGACATATTTTCACCCTGCTTTCTCAGATGATGCCTTCGTATGTCAGTCATGGATGGAGAGTCAGGAGACCCTTTTCTGAATTGCTGCCTGAAGCGGATGCTCAGGGTGAGTGACGGGAAGAAGGTGCAGGTCAGACATTTTAAAATAGAATGGACAGAAGTGTGGGGAGAAATAAAGACTAAGAAAATCAGAGCTCATTTGACCAGTGGAAACAATAGAGATCATTAGGTAGAGTTTGGATATTTGGATGTTTATAAAGGTATTTTTAGAGGGAAGAAGAAATAAGAAAGTAGTCTTTAAGATGGACATGTTTACGATTGACACAACATGGGACTTCTTACGTGCTTTCTCAACTACAATTCCTTTGTTCTTTTCCTACCAGCTGTGGACTTTCTTGGACTTATTTTGACCTTTAACCCCATGGATCGTCTGACAGCTGAGGAGGCGCTGTCGCACATTTTCCTTCAGCAGTACTCCTGTCCAGAAGATGAGCCCACCTCAGTGCATCCCTTCCACATTGAGGATGAGTTGGACAGCATCTTAACAGAGCAGAGCTTTAATAAGAGCAACAGTCAGGCCTCAAGCATTCACTGGGACAGGTTTGTAGCCCAAATAGATTTTGAACCCCACTTAAGACGTTTTTGTCAACTGTTTGGCTCTTTTTTCCAGCCAATACCCTTTGTTGATGGATTAGCTGTAAATGATCAATATTGTCAGATACTTTTTCTGAGAATGTAGTTGTCAAAAATTGGAATAAGAAGTTTTTATTATCATTAGATTCCTAACCAGGAGGTGAGAGGCATGTGTGTGGGGGTGCTGTAAACATGTAAATTAAGGGCACACCATTACAGAACTCTGGTCAAACACAGGGCAGCCTCACAGACAATCACAAACACGCATTTTACTCATACATATGTGCAGTTTACAACAGATAGCCAATCTGTAAGCCTTTGTACTATGCACAATGTCCGAATTAAATCAGTAAACCAATTTTTTTCATTTGTGTAATTTTTTTATGGATATCAATTAAATCCAAGGAGAATAATTCAGAGAAAACATATCAAATTTCTGCCCTACTGCAGTTTATCAACAGATATGTGTTGGCAACAATCAGATGGGAGGTGTCACTGCATGCCCCCTGGCCACATACCCTCTGACCTGGGAGACACCACAGAGGATGAGGAGGTGCAGAGAGACCCCCGGGCTAGTTCCAGATCATTATTAGAGGAGGCACAGGTTGGATGCACTCTGTGCTTTGTCTTTATCTACAGTGTCTTATTTCAGTGGTGATGTAAATGGAGATGTGAGGAGAGTGGTGAGAGTGATTTGCTGAAAGGTGCATGACTTTGCTCATTGCGGAGACTTGACTGTGGCCTCTGATATATAAGGGTGGCAATGTCTGTTATTATGTTTTTTTATTCTATTAATCCAGAACAATACCTCGACTTTTCAAAAAGCTTTTGGGTTCATGTCAAAAAGACATCAGTCGGATCCTGTTACTATTAGGGCATGTACCAGCTGTGAAATCCCGATACTGAAAATATTGATACCAATATCAATGTCAAAGTATGGTCACCTCTCTAACCTTGTTTGTCTCACACAGGTTGACCCTCGCAAATATTCCCACAGCAGCTCAGCAGAGCGCTTTCTGGAAAACTCTCACCCCTCTCTGGAAAGAGTCTGCGGCCTGGGATATGGGGAGCTCGACTGTGGCCGTTCTTGTGATTACAAAGTGGGTTCTCCTTCATATCTGGACAAAATTGCCTGGCGGGAGGGAAAGCCGCAACACTACTCGGAGCCTAAGCTGATTCTGGATCTGTCTCACTGGAGGCGGAACACTAACTGCCTCGCTGTGCCTGATGAGCCTGCTGGTGCCAGCATGGAGGACCCTGGTGATATGAAAGAGCAGGAAGCTGAAGAGAAAAAAGAGGAGGACACAGATGATTTGTTCCAGGAAATTTCTCGTTGGGTGGAGAGCACTCAGTCCCGACTGCGCTCATCCAGCCCAAGTCCTTCTTTTGAGCAGTGCTCACCCTCCTGCTACACATCGTCCCCTCCGCTCCCGCTCTCCCCTACTGACCTCCCAACACCAATCTTCCACTACACAGAGGTTATGCAGCAACCATCAGCTGAATATGATGAGGACAGACTGAGCCCCTTAGCTGCCATTACCTCTTCCTCCCATACCCCTGCCTTTCTTATACCCTCATCTCCCACATCTCCTCTTGCTCCTCAGTCACCTCAAACAGCATCACTTCCCACCACACCGCTGTTTCGACCACCACAGTTTCAGGCCCTTTCGTCTACCTCCTCCATATCTCAGCCAGCGAAGGCGGACTCCCAGGAGTCCCTGCCTGTCAAACAAAAAGAGCGGGTATTTGACCTGGACATGTTTATATCCAGAGCATTGAAACTGTGCCGGCAGAATAAGGAGAAGACAAATGTGAAGAAAGGAAAAGACTCAGGGTGGATGGAAGAGAGCAAACAGCCAAGCATTAAACGAAAAGTACCCAGGTTTCCAGAGCAAAGGACTCCATCACCACAGACTCCCAACTCTTGATGTGGAATTTCAACTTCAGGTTCAGCACAGCATAGCATTATAAGGGGTAGCGCTTTCAAACATTTGGATGTGTAGAGAGGGATGTCTATTGTGGTATATGCTGCCTAAGCATTTGTCTGTAGCAGCTTTTGTCTTTTTAGCACCTTTGCAAAGACAAATCGAATGCTGTGACAAGCTTTAGCTTGAACAAGCAACCATGCAGCTTTGTCATGAGATATTGTCAGGCAATAAGAGGTCAAAAGGAATTTGCATTGGACATAAGAGAAACAAATATTTTGTAATGACACTGGATTTATTAATGATTTGCTCTTAAAAAACAATTTCAAACTAAATAAGCTGAACTACAATTCTGGTTTTGACCCCACAAATTCCCACATTAAAAGTAGAAGAGCTTTGGTGGTTGATTTTGTAACAATGACATCAAAACTGCTGATTATTGCTAATTCTCAGCTGAAGTAGTTGCTTAGAATTAAAAGTTGTTTTTGTATAATATTCTTTTAAATCTTCAAATAACAGTCTTCCATTATGATATTCACAAAAATAGGAAAAGTGACAAATGGAAGCGTGTCCGAATGTATTACCTGAAAAAACAAGTCAGCCAAACTTTGGCATCAAACAAGTTTTTATGTGTTGTTGCTTTGATATTTCAAAATTGAGGTATTGAATATTTGTCATTGTAAACATGTAAACTCATCATATTTGCTTTTCTAACATACAAGATATAATGACGGTATTGTTGTGGTTCAGATATTCTTGCATTAATTTAAAAATGATAGGATCTTCAATTTGACTTTAGTTTGGCTTTAGTTTTATCATAGGTGGTTTCAACTCTCACTGAGGTGCTGAATCATAATTTTCCATATAAAAACTTTGCCACTTTTTACTGATTTTCTGCTTACTTTAGCCACAGGATCCTTTGATTCAAACAGCAGCAGCTTATGTGTCAGAGAATGTAGAACTTTTACAAACATTTCAGGAAATGTTAATTCTCAAAATTTCACAGTGCTGCTTTTCAGCTTTGATAACAGAAGGGAATGGAAAAATAGTAAAGTGAGATTTCAGATATCTTTCTTTCATTCATGCTAAGCTGCTTATGTTTTATTTATTTTTGGATCTGATGTCTCTCAACAAAGTTGATCGAACAGCATTTACATTTAGGTGTGCAGAATACTGTTTGTTGAGTCATGTTGTCTTTCAATAATGTGCATTTAGAATTTCCTTCAATAGTCGAGCTAAATAGTTAGTTTTGATAGCAGAGCTGGTGCAGGAAAACAGAGAAATGAATGCTGTCTTTTTCTGTTTCATGCGGATGTTCAAAGGTTGTTGCACCTATACAGGATTCCAGCTATGGGGAAAGGCAGAGGCACAACTGCAAAGTATATAAAAACACACTGCCAGCAACACAGAAAAAGAAGAATGTTTCATCATCTTTCATCACACTCATGATTAACCTAAACATAGTTATTTTTTCAAAAGATATGCAGCGACTGACAGTGTATTAATACACAGAAAACAGCTGATTTCATCATATCTGCACTGTGCCCTACATACAATACACAACATGACAACAGATTATCTTTTGACCAATTTTGTTTGACTTCTAAGGGGCACGTAAAAATGAACTGCAAACAATACTAACTATGAGACATCAAAGCCAGGTATTTCTGTATAATCTTAATGAAGCACATATAGAATAACAAGCACAGTCAAAAATGTAGGAACCATATACTAAAACCTAGGATATGTCTAACTCTACCATCATACACGTCAATAATGTACTTTTTAAAATGTAATTATGGCTAGATTATTGGAAAAGAAGTACTCAAAGAAATCAAATTTTGTCAGTTTTGTTAAAAATGTCAAATGCAGTTCCATTAATTACAAACGCGTGTTTTGCACAAATCTAAAGATTATATTTGCACTACACAGCTTCCATTGTAGGTAAATTAAGCCTGCAATGATACCATTCTTATTAGAAAAACACACTTTAACACATGTGATTACTGAGCCGAATATTATTGCCTGCTTTCTGTAAAGCAATGCTGAAAATGTGCCTCTGTACACCTCAATGTATCCAGCTTGCTGAATGTAATGTGTGACCTCCTCTCTGCATGAGCATCCGAATCATTTAAAAATTCTTTCTATTATGCATCACTTTGTGAAAGTCTTTTATCTCTATTGTATTTTCTTCATGCTTCAAGGAGCGATCAACTTTTCCTACCAATTCAATATGCCTTTTTTTTTAGTGTTTAGTTTTGTTGGAAAAAGAAATCAATAATAAAACCTAATCTGAGTATTGGCATGATACTATATCAAGATTATCTATCTATCTATCTATCTATCTATCTATCTATCTATCTATCTATCTATCTATCTATCTATCTATCTATCTATCTATCTATCTATCTATCTATCTATCTATCTATCTATCTATCTATCTATCTATCTATCTATCTATCTATCTATCTATCTATCTATCTATCTATCTATCTATCTATCTATCTATCTATCTATCTATCTATCTATCTATCTATCTATC